CTTAATCATCTCAACTGTTGAGACACTGCGATTGGGGTCCCAGAAACATTCATCATCAGTTTTTTATGAAAACCATGATATTGCAAAACAGACATTTTTAAGATATACAGGGTGTTAGGTAAATGGGTATATGAGCCGACACTAGCCCATGTTAACATGGGCATATAAATGGTATGGTGAAGTCTTAAATTTGATATCATCATTTTATTTTTTAAATTTTCATACAAAATAAATTTTATAAAATCCGATTTCTATGAAAATTAAAATAATTTAAATGAAGATATCAATTTTCTGACTTCACCCANTGGTGAAGTCTTAAATTTGATATCATCATTTTATTTTTTAAATTTTCATACAAAATAAATTTTATAAAATCCGATTTCTATGAAAATTAAAATAATTTAAATGAAGATATCAATTTTCTGACTTCACCCATACCATTTATATGCCCATGTTAACATGGGCTAGTGTCGGCTCATATACCCATTTACCTAACATCCTGTATAAACTCCTTGAAACACTAATAAGCTATTATTGCAATATACAAAAAAAACATACAGTCGAATTGAGAACCTTTTTTAAAGTCGGTCAAAAAGAGATGCAACATAACGGTGAAACAAAAAAACAAAACTTATCTCATTCGTTTGAAGAAGCAACCAACAACAATGATATTTGTATAATTTTGTTTAACAAACAAATGCACCAAGAAAACACAATATTAACACACCGGCAGCCAAAAGTGGAAATTTCTCTAATATTATGCGTGTAGCAGGTAATGTATCGCTTATGTAACAAAAGGTCGCGTATGTCAGGACCACACGACCCCACTTATGTAGGTAACACAAATACATATACTATGTAATAAATTTAAATGCCAGAAGAACTTGAATTTACGCTGTAGCAAGTACATATAAATGTTTTAAATGAATTAACATATCTCCAAGAACCCACACAATGTACATAAAACTGATATTGACCATACTTTTAACCCGGTTGATAAAATAAAAAGAATTACTCTGGATGAGTTTGTTACTATTGTTAATTTTACTGCCCAAAGGAAACCCAAAAAGCCAAATCACCACCAAAAAGTGTTTGCAGTGCCTACTGACCTACATTTCTCAGTCGATAAAGCAAAATCCATGTTTGTTGTGGCAGCACGAACAATTGCATAGATCACAGCAACCGCCAATTTAACGGCTTGTCCAAGAAACCTCAAAAACTATTTTGGCAAATCCAGAAAACTTTTATTGGTAATAAAGATTCGTTCCATATGAAAAATTTGTTTATCTTGCGTTGGAGGAGATGGATCATTTGGTGACCTGGTATTTGTTAAAAGCCGTAAAATGCAGAATTCTGTATTTTAAGCACGAGGAAAGCTTATGATGGGGAACGAGAACGGAGCGACTTTTATAGATGAAATCAGCATGAGAAGATTTGTATCATAGATAATAATAAATATACATGCCTAATGTAAATGACTAGGGCCTTAAGGTTAAGGGAAAGCTTCATTACCAAGATGAAAATAAACTAAGGATTAGATAGATAGAACACACTTTATTGTACACCAGACAAGACAACCTAAAGGACTGTCGTTTAGGATAGGTTGCAGAGGATTTGCACAAAGTAGTAACTGACAACCAATGAGAAAAAAATAATATGTTCCATGCATGCTCACAATATTTAGAACACTACTGGCAATACAAAAACTCATATCAGCCATTTCATGCACAGTAACACCCGTGCGATTACCTATTTACCGGTATAATCTGTGCCGGGGGAAACTACAATCGGTCAATTGGAGTGGTTTATTTGGTGATAATGCGCAAGAACCGAGGGTCAGAGATAAGGGGGTCGAGTACTTCTGGTTTTACCAAAAGACAATGCCGGAAATTGGCGTCTTTTTTTTTCGCGCGGCCATCGACCAAACCATGTTTTTTGGATACAAAATAGTGTAATAAACCAAACTTACTATGACATGTTATACCTCTAAACTCAGTCTGAACTGAGTTACGAGCATTAGAAGTTTGATGATTTACATACTAGATTTGCTTTTTGCGCGCAAGTTTTGTAAGAAATTGCAACAAAATAGTGACATTGTATGTGTAAACAAACAATACCATCCATTAAAGGCTCCAGACATCAGTGTGGAGTTNTGCAACAAAATAGTGACATTGTATGTGTAAACAAACAATACCATCCATTAAAGGCTCCAGACATCAGTGTGGAGTTGAATCAGCGCAATAAAAAAATAGCGCAATATTTTGTTGCAATTTCTTACAAAACTTGCGCGCAAAAAGCAAATCTAGTATGTAAGTCATCAAACTTCAAACGCTCGTAACTCAGTTCAGACTGAGTTTAGAGGTATACATGTCATAGTAAGTTTAGTTTATTACACTATTTTGTAATCAAAAAACAAAGTTTGGTCGATGGCCGCGCGAAAAAAAAAAACGCCACCTTCCATACAAAATCTGGCATTGCCATTTATCCAAAAAATATATATATGAGATTCATATTTAACGGGTTTTCCTGGGGAAACGCGGCATTAAAGCAACATTGATACTTGATTGTGATTGACGTTATTACAATTGCAATGTAGAAAAAATGAGGACGAATAATTTATTGATGTTTGAAATGTTTTACTTCTGTCACGAACTCACGATCACACCAATTTCATTATTTACTGATTGTTTATAGATAGTTGTGAATTAGTCACAATTTTTTTTTACAATCGAATTTGCGTTGACATCACATCTAGTTTCGTCCTCCTGGTCACTGGACCCACAGGATGAAATCGGCTAAACATTTTTGTTTCTCAGAAATAAATACTAGTGCTCTCTTTTTGTACTTTCTCGATAAGCAATGATGTGTGGGGCCAATGACTTCATTTATCGCCGTTAATGGTTCATCTTGGACATTATCAATTAGAGCACAAGACACAACACATCATTACGTTCAAGAAACACTGTCATTGACAGTCGGTCTTCTTATTAACCGACCTTCAACTGTCAAGATGCCCAGGTCCTGTTCAGGGAACACAACAGTAGTCAGTGAGTTCCAATCCCTAGCCTCCTCCTTTTGATGCGAAATTAAAATAAGAGGTGATTATTTTGGTCCAATTATGTCAGGTAAATAACTAACTAAGGTACTGGATCAAAATTTAACAAGCTAATAATTAACACAATTTTTTATGTCGAGTTGAGCGCCACTCCTTAACCCTTTTAATGCTCAAGTCCCCAAAGGATACTCGTTAGTAATTTTGTTGTGACCCAAATTATACCAATGAGCAAAAATAATGAAAAGTATCTCCGTTGATAAGTTTTAATTATTACACCAAAAAGGTTTTCAGACCTTTTTGACAAAAAATAGACACTTTTGTTACAAAAAATTAGCTGAGAGAAATGAAAGTTTGTAATAAGAAACTTGTCGTTAATCAAGTTAGGGTAGAAAATAATATTTTCTTAACTTATATTATAAGTTTAATAAATTATATTTATTATTTCGGAATAATTAAATTTTACGGCCGTGTTTCAATTGCGCTACAAACTTTCTGTGACAGCCGAAATCTCCATAAATTGATAGTGGGACTTTAAAAGTTGTTAAGATACCAGTTTATCAGTGTTATTCAATACATCTCGTTTGAACCGACCGCGATAGACACTATCATTACAATTTCCATACAATTTATGGTAAATGAAGGTAGTCATTATGTTTTCAATAAAGATGATAATGAGGTGAAATGCGCTTTAGATTGATACAATGGAGAAATATGCAGTAGACGCTGGAAAGAAGTGAATGACATAAAGGGCCTTTAAACAATAGTGAATGACATCTTATTGGATAAAGAGATATAAAAAAGGGAAGAGGATACAATACAACAAAAGTTGTTCTGATTTAAAAACTGTTTGGACAACGCATTCAATATATCTCGTATAAGCGAGAGAATATCTTGTAAGTTCTGATTGTGACATGTGTGATCCGCTACACGAACGTTCTGTAGGTAGGAGTGTCGTAGCTACACATTGGGAGTGAGGCTACTGCCACGCCTGTGCCTTGTTGAAAAAACTGGTATCTGTATAAATTGGAATGTTATTTAGTTTAATTAATATGGAATAGTGCAAACAAGGTCGCAGTCGGAGGACACGATAGCACACGGCTTATGTCACGGGTGGAAATAGCTCATACATACATAAGCTACGTCTTGTTATTAATTGCTAATTATTATTGGAAATGATAGTTAAGGGTTAACACAATGGACCCTTGTTTTAAAGAATGTGCGCCAATATTTGCACAGTGGTTAATATGTACAGAAAACTGGGCCAAATAGTTGTCTTTAAAACCTTCATTAAAATTACCTAATTATTTTTTTGCAAGTAGACTTTCAAAAAGCACTTTTACAAGTCCCAGAGTTTAACCCTACCAATGCTCCAGGACAATTAATGGGCCAGTGCTGAGAAGGGTTCTGTTCAGTGGAAACTGGCATTTGGTCAGAACTTTAAAAATTAGTTTGCTTACTTATATCCTTTTATCTCTTTAATTTAACCGCTCATAGCGTAATAGCGTAGGTCCCTTAGAAACAATTACTCATAATTACCTATTAAAACGAATTAAGGAAGACCATGCAGATCACAAAATAGTACCTACGTACAATGTGACTCATTAACTACATAAACTATGTGTATGGTATGGTTGGCTCCTAGTAATGGAGAACAATTAAAAAAGAATTTTATTGTATTGCTCAGTCAATAATCTTGTAAGGATTGCATTCACGTGATACATAGACATATAGCCTCCAATAAGGTAAAGCGATTGTCACATACCGCATTCCTGTCTACCGTCAACGTTCGAAAAAAAAATATAAACACAATAACAAATGCATGTACACGATGTGTTGTGATTAAATAATACTTGTTTTGTGTTCTCAACGTGATATTCTTAACAACGTATTCCCAACAAAAGGTCGGGAGTATTTTTAAAAAAGCTTAAAAAGTCTAAAACGGTACCGATTGTTCTCCGACAAAGCACAATCCGAATATGGGTGTAAGATGGCCAAGACCGTCACTTAGATCACACGCACTGCACTCTGCTGACACTGCACAGTGTCATTGCCACAGATATTTCTCGGAAAAAAACAAAAAATAACACAACACAAGAACTTTCTAAAAAGTTACACGCACTAAAGTTGGGAAGACCGACGTCAGCCGGTGACCGATCGCGGCGGCGGACTGACCGCGCGAGAGCAGCGCGTAAACAACGCGCGGGAGCGAGACGGCAACACGCTGCACCTGTGCACTTAACATTGAATGATTGTCGAAACGAAACGACAATAAAACATTCCCTACAAAAGAACGGGACGGATAACCCGGCGAGCGATGTGGCTCCCATGGTACAGAAGGTTGCAACTGGGTTTTCGCTAAATTAATTTGTGCACTCCTTTTCAGTTTTAGAGTCCTTTTTCGTTTAATTGGAGTGCGGTTTTGTTCCCTTTGGTTGGGGTTGAGACAGTTTATTGTCAGGGTCAACATATGGCGAAAAGGTACTTCTGTTAGCCAAATTCCATAGCTCTGGTGGTAGTTAGAACAATATGCTGTTTCAATTCGCGTTGCCCGACCGCTGGAGGTTTCGCGGGCGATAATACGTGGTGCCTTTAGAATTCCATGTTTAGTCAACTGTTTAAACATTCAGTTTGTAATAATCAAGCATGATTGGGATTTCCACATAATTACTTAGTATCGTATTGTGTTGAAACAATTTGTAATTAAAATGTACCATCCAAAATATTGTCTTGCAAACGTGAAAAATTTAACTTTTCACAGTTTGCGAAAACGAATTCTGGAAATAAAGTTATCATATCAAAGCAAATATTAAGAAACAGTATACCAACCCAATTGGATTGAGTCATACACAAAACTTCCAGTCAACTTTTCCACTGGGTCAAGCAAGATTTTTGTGCATGGGGTCAATACTCTCTATAGCCCGCATCAATGACGTCATCGAAATATAGGTAGGTACCGTACGTCATCCGCGAACAAGGAAAATCCATTCAGCTACAAGGCGACTGCTGCTTAGCAAGAAATATAATGCCGTCACGGTCTCTAATTACATCAAAATAAGCTCAGCTACCGAAAGCCTAATTTCAATATACTTAGTTCATAAGAATTTAGTTTCCTACTCTCCAAGAAATACTTTTTTTTTTAATCCATAACGAGGAAGCTCTTGGCCTGTATCTCACCTGATGGTAAGTGATGATCAGGCCGAATGTGGAAGCGAGCTTCACTCGGAATCCTCAACCACGGAGGAACTGGCTATCTCACTTCTAACTGCCGGAACACAACAATGCTGTTAACATTATTGTTATGGCGACAGACTTAGGTAAGATGGTGGTAGCTAGCCAGGCGGACTTAGAACAAGCCCTACCACCAACCAAACCGAACAGAAAAATCTGCCCCCACTGGGAATCGAACCCAGGACCTCTGCGTCTGAAGCAGGTGGTCTTACCACTAGACCACAGAGGTGGTATACACTTTAGAAGAAGAACTCTTTATTAGACAGTTCTGAAATTAAACAATCACTCAAGAATAACACCAGGTATTGGGCATAATAAATAATTAGAAAAAACTTCAGGCAAATGCCCTGGTAATTGCACAATAGTCTGACACCATGCCTATTTGATAACAGCGACCACTACTTGCCTATTTTTATAATTCTTACAGCTAATGACAAAAACGAAGCTTTGGCATCAAATAAGTCTAATACAAGTCGAATAATCCAGTCCATTTAGATCCAGAAAGAGAAGAATATTAACCAAACAGTAAATTCTCAACATCAAATTCCAAGATCGACGTGAGAAGCTGAGAATACCTTCATCCACTTCCCACAAGCGTTTCCTCGAACAATCTCTCCGTGCCACTTCCTCCGATTGACGCGAGAACTATGAAAACACCGGGGCTCGCTCGAGTTCCACGTAGCTGGAACCTGCCTGGACCAAGTTTACGGCTTTCCGTTTCCTTGTTTAGAAACCGCACTATGGCTATTAAATTGCATAATAAGACGTCTAATTGCGTCACATAAATCGTAGAGCTGGAAAAAGACAAAATACTTCAGCGGAGTTATGTAACGTTATGTTCCAGCCTTCTGTATGAATAAAGGAAGAGTTCGTGCTTTTGGCTATTATTGGGGGAATCTCCACCAAACTGGATATTGTCATCAATGATTTGAAAATTAAGAATTTATTTAATTTCAAGCACTTTCCAGTTTTCCACTATGATTACAATCATACCCTGGCTATCAATGGACCCTTTTACTAAGGCTCCATTGTCTATCTATGAGTCCAAGAACATTTATGTTCTTTCCATAATAGTCAGACACTTTCACAGTATTTTTAAGTGACCGCTGCAAAACCAAATTCATATTCAGTTTTTACAGCGATGTCTCATCTCTTATCGACTACCATTGAACCAGTAGCTGTTGTTATAAATTCTTCGAATAAATGTGTTTCAATTGGAGAAAAATTGGCGTTATTTATCTTCCACGCACCTAGGCGCCGGCGCACGCGCACTTGCAAGAAACGTAACTCCATCAGGTGGTGTTTACGTTAAAGCACTATTACTTTTCGCGGAAAATGCGTGAAACGGAGAACAGCCAGAGCGGAGTTTTTCGTAAAATAAATCTCCCTTTGCGTTGGCTCACGTAGTCACGTAGTCCAAGTGCTATTCAGACTTTGGGTATATCATTAAATTGCAAAATGCCTTGCGCCACTTGCATGAGTTTATGGTTGCGTTTCCTCGAAGGTTTTTGGCTTTGCTTGGATAGCTTTCAAATCATCATCATTATCATCATCATCTACAGCCGTTGATAGTCCACTGCTGGACTATGAGCCTCCTCCACTATAGTGGAGTGTTTTTCCATAATCCCCACGCTTGGCAAGCAGTTTAAAAGATTGATATTTTTCCGCTTTCAAATATAGGGTGGAATTTTGTAATGCCACCTGGAGGGAAAGTACTCTTAATATTGTGGATATATTTTTTTTCTCAAAGAAAACATTCCTTTATTTTTTAAAAGAAATAGAACTGCATTCAAAGATTTCCAAAAATTTGCTTTCCACACCCGGGATTCGAACCAACTAAAATCTGCTAAAATTTACACCCTGTATTTTTATTGCATCGATCATTAGGGTTAAGTATAAGGATGAAATCTCTCTAAAAAACTTGATAAATCAAATGAAAGGAAAACCATGAAAACTCAAATTATTCTAATTATGCACAGGAAATTTTGTGGTATGGTAGAGAATTTTTGAAAAATTTTTGAATATCTTTGAATGCAGTTCTCTTTTGTTTCAAAAATAAAGGAATGTTTTCTTTCAGTAAATTTTCTATCTACAGTATTAAGAGTATTTTCCCTCCAGGTGGCATTACAAAATTCCACCCTGTATATTCAGATATTAAAATATAGCTTGACACTTTTTATCAATGAAACAAACTCAACACGGCACGCTAAATAAACAATATCTTTCGTTGAACTTGATTTGTATGGAGGTTTAAAAAAGAAAGTATAAAATATACAAATAACTAGAATATAACATTTTGTAGGAGCAAACCTTAGCTGCAAAATTAGCTTCCACATAACCTAGTGTGTCGATGCCACAGTGTGCACGACATGTCAAAAGCCTCGGACCAAAACAATTAATCTCGCGAACCCATTAATATGATAAATGCTGCTTTCCGGTTGTATGACTGTACCGAGGTCGCGGGACCTTGCGGGAGGTCTATGTGGGACATACCACTGTGCAATTATTTCAGCTCTTAAAAAGTTTCACTTTTGAACCTCTGGGCTCTGGGCTTTCTTGGGTTTCACTTTCCACGGGACGAACTTGACCTTCACTGGGTGCGTTTTTATTGGCGTTCAAGCTGTAGATCCTCGCTACACAGGAGTTGCAGCGGTGGGAACGAGAGGTGGGACTAGTTCCATTTGTGCCTCTGAGAGAAAAAATCTGTCTTTAAGACTTATTATTATTATCAAGGTACAAAGTTATAATGAACAAAAGGATGAAAATACTATTGTTTTAAATAGGAAAACGACCAATCGAATCGAGAACCAACTATTATTTTTGAAGTCGGATAGAGAAAATCAGTACTTAGTCGATCAACAAAATGTAGTATTGTTCAAAACAACGAATCTAAAGAGGCTCTTAGTAGATTTACTCTATACGTGGTGTGATACAAAAGGTGAAAAATATGTATAAAGGATGAAACCAGTTCACATCATAATGGATAAAGGGAGCTGTTCCTATTTCTTTAGGCAATTTATCTTGGCCCTCCATTGAAATCTAAGAATACCCTCAATAACTTCTATTATATCACGTTAACCGACAATGCCTCTTCTTAGATCACAGTTAGACGTATTTATTAAACAAATCTTTCGATTTGCTATATTCTAGCAATCGTCAGGGTTAGCCAGAAATTAGTACTGAGAATTAATAATGGACGAGGTTTCTTCCCGGTATATGACGTACGTTCAAAACTTAGAATGGGTTTTGGTTTTGTGGCCGTCAATAATCGACATTCATTGAGTTCTAAATTCGTACTTCTTATCCTGCTAATAACATACAAGAAATACTCGTAGTTTATTAAAACAGACGGTGTGTTATTGTTTCTGGTTAGAACTGCTGAACTTAATAAAATGAAACTTTACAGAAATATGGCAAACGATCAATTTTTATTGAAATCAAAGGTCTATAACTTCTAGCGAAGAACGTAGCAAATCCCAGTTAAGATATCTTTTTACAAAACTAAATATTACTTTTATTGACATTCGTTCATTTTGTTATACGCCCATTAGTTGACAATAACAATCTGATGAATGTCAACATTGACACATCAGTGACCAATCTATTGACACTCTAAATGTAACGTCTGATAGACTAATAGCTCTTAGCGCCACATCTAGACATCTTTGAGTCATCCATACAGGGTGGAAACGATAAGTGATCTCACTCGATTATTTCTAAACTATACAAGATATCGAAAAACTGGGTACTGATCCTGAAAGTGCTTCGAGCTCTATCAAACGATATCAATACTAGAAAGAAAGAAAGAAAGAAAAAATATTTATTTGGTACTAAATGATTGGTTCATGGTTCAATACTAGGTTTCATAATAAATACAGTTTACAAATAATTGAGTCGTTTCCACCCGGCATAGTTCGTCTGGCAGACGGTCAAACCACACATTAAGATACGGCCCGA